CTGACCCTCAGCCAGGGTCAACCCACCACAGAGTACTTCCTTTTTGAAGGAAAAGGTCAACCTGTTAGCCTGGCTCCAGCCTGTGTTATGTCCTCAGTTACCTTCATGCGTAGGCCCTAAAATGGAATGGCCCTCAAGTTCTGCTGTGTGCACACCATGAAGCATGTTCCAAAAGCTTACAGTACAAAAAGAAAAACTTGAAAATCTTAAAGATTTTTTTTTCTTTGCAATCCTTGGTTATCTAAGCCTGCTCAAAAATTTACATTGTATTAATCATATAGCTTGCTTTTTAAAATGACTGAATAAATTGAAGGTCTGTAAAAGTTACACAGTTGGGAAAAACCTGTGCATTGCTCATGGTTACTAAATGCAATATTCTGTCGTCCTTCTGGATGAAAATTTCTATGAAAACTACTGGTTATATATTTTTTTAGCTACAAATAGTTGCTGAATACACCTGTGTGTCTGAAATGTGAGAATCACTACATATGGAATATATTTCTAGATACTGGGAAAGCAAAGAAGTGACAAGTTATGAAAAAAAAATCCTAGTCCTTCAGCAAGAGGATGAAAATCTAGTCTTCAGCAAGATTATCTCAATGTTAAAATGAAAGTTATTCTTTATAATATCATAACGAACTACTAAATGCTTTTGTGAATATGGGTAAGGATGTCTGTTTTTCAAAGACAACTTCTTGTGATAATTCAGGTAAAAGACTGCATTTCTGTAAGTCTCAAGTTCAGTACTGAAATTTTTCCTGCTAAGTTTCCCTTAAATATAAATTACTCCATTATAAATGCTGTACTGTAAAATAATTTCCCACATTACATATATTTTGAAATTGTTCTATACAAAACTGTTCTTAAATATTTATCATTTAAAAGCACTCTATCAAAGTAGAACATTGAAAACATAAGTAACAAGATTCATAGATGAAGCAGTATCTTACTATACCAGGTGACACAGACAATGTGACATTTTTAATAACACTAAGGCTGTGAAATAGAATAATAAATTAGCTGGGTCAATGATTAATCTAGTGTATTTGTTGTAAGTTGACTTTTCAGTGGCAGCTGTGTTCTGTTCCTGATGAGATAGGAGATCACAATGTCTAGGCTCCTATGTTCTTTCCAGTGTGACAAAAACTGGGCTAGGCTGGGTTTTTCATTGAACATTTCTTTCATAATTCTCTGCATTCTTTTTCATCAATAGAAAACTTTCACCTCTCCCTGTGTGACTCTCTTGGTTAAGAAATGGACATGCTCCCAGCAAATCTGTTACAGAAACAAAGTCCTTAATCCTTGAACTCGTGCAGTATGCAACTACGTTAGATCCTCTGACTTCAGAGTCAGTAAGCGCTCTATTACATTGCCCAAGTTCTGCGAGTGTGAGGGGGATTCTTTTAGCTAAGATCACTTATTTCCTGGCTATTTTAATTTGTAATTCTTAAATGCTGTTGAAAGAAAGTTAGAAAGTTATATTAACCTTAAATCATGCATTGGTAAAAATGTTAGTAAAGCTCTTGCTAAGAAATGTAGGATATTGTAGTGGGAGACATGCATCATTTTAACAATCTGTTGTAAACACATAGTATGCAAACTAAGACAATATTTCTCTTCAGATTTAGAAATGTCTCTTGCCTACTGCTTCTACAAAGTACCCTGTTTGGGGTTTTGTGAAGTTTCTTCTTCAAGCTTGATCGGAGCTCTGTCTTGGATTTGCTTTTGAAAGCATGTGGTGCTTTGTATAAAATTATGAACAGCTGCATTGTAACTTGATTAATAGACTACAAATAGTAGTTATTGATGTGCTATATAAATTCTTAAATTTAAATTCTTACCTCAAACTGAGGTCCCCAAAAGGTAAAGAGCTATAGCCATTAAAATGTAAATGAGTGCTTGATGTCTGCCATAGCTCTATCTTTTTGCTAGGCTCTCATGGTATTTTTTGAAGCAGACTCATGCCATCTTCAAAACTGCAGAGCATGTGTTTGTCCCCAAAACAAATTATTAAAGAGTCTGAGGAAAGAATTTAATGCTTTTGGTTTGCCTGTATTCCCACTGATTTACACATTCACATTTTTAGCAAATAGTGCCAGTTGTCTTAGCAATGCTTAGATACTTGTGACACAAATGTTGGGTTTTCCTGTCCTTGTAAAATATCACTCTGCTACTTTTCCTTTTGTTTTGGTTCCTTCACTTTTCCATAGGTTTAGCACTTGATAATTAGCAATGCCCCAATAAAAACATTGTTTTATTTGGGTTTCTCTCAGGTACAAAATTATCAAGTCCATGGTATGGTCAAGTCCTTTTTGCCTTTTTTATGTACAAATGGTGACATTCTGCACAAACTTGTTTCAAGTAAATTTTTTACATTCAAACTGTTTGTGTCTTAATTTAGGGTGAAGTTAAGCAAACTACCCTTTATTTCATTGGTTTATGCTAAGTAATATTACATTTGCTTTCTGTATATTAAAATTGACTCAGAACAACTATATATAGAAAATTTTAGATGTACTTTAATCATCCTCTTGTGTTAGTATTAGATCACTTCAGTCATTTCCTGTAACACATCTTGTATACATTTGGTATTTCTTACTTTTGAGTTTTAAAAATAATTTGTATATGCTGCACTGAGTTGCACAAAGTACCATGCCTACTGTTCGATAAAATGTCTTTTGAAAGATAGTAATAACTCATGTGCTTCCTATTGTTATTTCAATGTGTGAAACATTTAAATGCATCACAAAAAGACACTAAATATTTTCTCTAAAAATAGATCATCCTTTATACTAATTTTGAAACATTCTTCCTTGTGAATGATGAGGAAGCATTCCTTTCTGATACTGCTCTCAAAGCACTAACAATTCTTTGCACTGATCACATAATGGGCTCTTTTGGTGTAATACTGAGGGATGGGAGAGATAGTCACCGTCATAAAAAAGTCTGCTGCTGCCTTTCAGTGCACAGTCAGCATTTTTTGAGACTTACCTGTAATATGAAGCTGTGTATCTGTACACAGCATCAAGAGTTTAGAAGAAGCTAAAGGGTTCTGTTTACTAGAAAAATAACATAAAGTGAGAAGGGTATGTCCAGTTTAAAAAGTTGGATGAATCCCCATGGGCATAATAGTCCTTGTAAGTGTTAAAACAGTAAGCAATACAATAAATCTAAACTAAAAGCCCAGCTTTTTAAGTAACAAAAGGATTAGAAGTCTGAACAAGTGGGCTTTTCCATTACTGGCAGATACTTCATCACATTAGATTCTTGCTAGAAGACATGCTGTAGCTTACCAGGAGGAAAAATTGTGCAGTAAAAATTTATTGCTGACCTTGTGCTGAAGATTTGACTAGTTCTGACTTGTGCTTTTCTGCCATTAAAATCTGAAACTGATATAATAGAGACAGTAAGGGGTTTTAATGTCCTCTAAGCCTTTCTGATTTGAGGCCATTATAATCCTTCTGATATGTGTAGACAGACAAGATTAAAAATGCTTGTCTGTGTACATAGTTGTTTGAAAACTAGTGTCTGATTTTACTGCCATTGTATATTGGCTCTCATTCAAGTCAGTTATAGATCAAGCAGGAGATCATTGCTCTTAAAGCAGGAATCTAAATAATCTGAATATTCCTGAATGTAGATATCCTTGGTTGTCTGGATCATGCCCTTAATATATAACAGTAGACAGTCAATTCTGTTTACAAATAAGTTATGCCTAGCATATAGATCTGCAGCTCTGCATAGACAGATGTGGTGTCATGCCTGGTTTGGATCAGGAAGTTTTTAGTGTAACCTGCTGTACCTCAGAATAGCACAGGTGTGTGCATGCATAGACATGCTGTTTGGGCATGAGTGATTCTTAGATTTCTTGGTAATCTCCTCTTAGGAGTCTAGGCTTTAATTCCAACAGACTAGTTTTCACTTTCTGAAAGGGGGGTTATATATCAACAAAGACATGATAGCAGTGAGTTTCTCCATTCTACTGTGCCTATAGGCAGATGCTGCTCTTACAAGGGTCTTTAAAAGCACTGTTTAGTGTTACCTCTTTGCAAAACAGTTTGGTGCTGGGCAGGCTTTAAAATGCCCATACTCACCTGATCTTTTTCTGACCTTTTAGTTGTAGTTGATTGTGTGGCAATCAAGCCTGCTCACCTCAGGCTTGCTTTAAACAGCAGGTATATGCTTTGGTATTGCATGTGTTTTATAAGACCATAAGGTGATTTTCCTAACATTATGTGAAAGGACAGTTGCAAAGCTGGCAGTAGAACAGTTTTGACTTCTGGTCTGGTGTTTAATTTACTGGAACAGTGTCATGGCACCAAGCTCAGAGTTCATCTTATGGAAGTCAAAGTGGAAAATGCTTTCCTTGCTCCTTGGATTACGTAAATGGTTGTTTCTCTGCAGCATGTCATTTCTAAAGCTGCTACAGGGAGAAGAAAATGAGATAGCTAGAATTTTAGTATTCAGCATCAAACTATTAAATAGCAGTGTAAAGATGTGCAAGTAGCCTTCAGACATAGGATCATAGGAAGCAACAATGTTGAAGTGTTGATGTCAGGGTATGGAGGGGAAGCTGCTGGGGCAGTGCTGAAGGTGGAGCATGTGCAGCACTTCATATAAGCCAGCAGCCATGTGCCTCAAAATGTGTGCTGGAGGTTCAGCTGACTTCTAACCCTGTCAATTCTATCCAAAGGCTGTTTATTCAACTTAAGGCATGATTTTGTGGAAAGGAAAAAAGGTGTTTGATGGGATAATATGTATTTTTAATGCATGTCAGTGTATTAGTTTCTCACTTTAGCTTCCAAAATTGAGGACATACCAAGTAAATTATTTGTACAGTGAATGTTTTTCTTTGTTGCATTGCAAATTCAGGTGACTAATGCAGAAAGTCACTATGATCAGCATTAGAAATAAATATGCCATTAACAGAAACCAATTTTGTTCCAGCTGTCTAAAATTTCAGGAAAAATGTTCTGTAGTGCTTCAGCTTTCAGAAGATTTAGACATTTGACATTGATACAAGTGTGTAATAGCTACTTTTAAAGTGACAAAATGTAATACTGCCTACAGAATACTTTTTTTCTTCCACCTAATTCTGTTCCCATTTTATATGAGCTTGTTCAGTCCAACACTGCAGCCAGAGAACAGCCACTCTTGTCCAAATGAGCTTTCATCTGTCACTCAAGTCACAAATCCTCACACCTGTTACAAGCTTAAAGTGCTGTAACTTGAGTTAACCCCCAAAGGCTATTACTTAATGCAGTGGAGTTCCACTGGTCAGATTTGCTTCTGAAACTTTATCCATTTTACTATGCTTTTACAGTTTTTTCTTTAACTATTGCAATTAAAGTTACCCACTATACTGACTGCTGTTTACAACCTCCTTTTCATATAAAGCCCTAGAGGCTTATTTCAGCTTTAGATTTAAATTGAAAAAAAATGTGGAAAACTTCCCCATGAAATAGTTCAACATGCTGTGGACTTAACAAAGAATAAGAAATATCTTTGCCACTTTTTTGCACATTACTTACTGTTGATGACAGCCAAGACAACTAACATGTTACAAGAACGTGGGAAACACTGAAGTTGAAAATTACAACTTTGAGTTTAAATCAAATTGAACTGCAGTATGTGAGCAAGCACTGGTTATTTAGTGCTATTTGAAATTGTTATAAAAGTACAGCTTACTATATGACATTAGTCTATAGTTCTATAGATAGAATGAAAGCAAGCCTTATTTTCTTTTTTCAGGGGTCTAGTATATCTGGCAGCTTATTGGGCCATTGGTATTTTTTAACTTGTTTATATGGTGGTGTGGTTGGTGCAGCAGGCAGAGTACATGATTTTGATCTGTACTGGGAGCACAGCAGAAGACGGAGGAAAATAAATGCCAGTCAGTATATACATACTGAGAAAGTGTCTACGGTAATGTAAAGATAGGTATAAAAATGCCAGGGGACATCTTCACGATTACTGAGGAAAGCGCTACACTTCATGTGGCAGTATGAAACATTAGTCCTGAGGTTGCACTCATCTCTATGCACCAGCACTGCAATTTGTGAGACTCGTTGTTGTCTAACCTTGAAAAAGCAGCTTTAACATGCAGCTAGCACCTTTGTAAGAGTCAATCCGTACTGACAGGGTTCATCCTTGGGGAGGCTACTGGCATGTTATAGGAGTGTGCTGAATCCACTTAATGTCAGTACAGATACTAAATTCAGCCTTTTAGCATAACCTGAACGTAAAGAGGAAGAATGAAGACTATGCTATTTTCTAAATAAATTTTAAATACTTCTACAAGTCACATTCATTAGGCTAAAGTGTTCGGAAGTAGAGGATTATGCTCATACTTTGTCCTGAAATAATTCGTATCCCTTGTCATCTTAAAGTTAGTTTTAACACAAGGCCTGGGTTGTGCTGTAGGGATGCAGGGACTCTGCTGGTAATGCTTGCTGTGTGCTGAACTGTTCATCAGCAGCCCACCTCAAACCTGACCTCTCCATGTACATGACAGGCCATAGAGTCCATCTTAAAGCTGATCACCTTTAGGAGTGTCAAGAGAAGAGGAGATAAAAGCTTCTCATTTTCTGCTTTTGTTTTCTTGCTGGTTTTTGACATGTAATCTCAGAGATCTCTGCAAGACAAGATTGCCTGTCTTGTTTGCAAGAATAACACCTCTACTCAGTTTCCTCTGTGCCCTTTTACCCACATTGCTGCAGCTTGTGTGGAGTGTGCTGATGGGATGTGTCGTATTTAGCCTCCCTCACAAAGCTTATCTTCAGCCAAATTTTGATCGCTCTAACGGTTTTAGTCTCATTTGCATGTTGCAGCAGCATATGGGCCAGTCTGCTGAAGGCTGTCAATTGTACATGGAGATAAACTGATGGAGACAGTTGCTGTAGCGTTCAAGGAAAATCCAAGCAGATAATGAAGCTTGTTTTGGAATATTGGCAAAAATAGGGTGTTCCTTAGGCACAATAGGTTTAGTAGTATTAATTTTGTGAGGATATTAAGAATTTTAACACTAAAATACCTTCTAAAGCATCATTCCAAAAGAAGTAATTCAAGGAATACTAGCTTGAATGTAAATCTACTTTATGCAAGTGCAGAATAATTTGATTATATTTTTTTTCTCCAAACCACAGCTTTTGTCAGGAGTGATAAGCCAAAACTCTTCAGGGGACTGCAAATCAAGGTAAGTATAACTTTTTTTTATTTGGGATGTTAGGAAGAATTAAGCTTGGTGGAGACAGTAATTTTGTGGATTGTTCCTTATTTGTTGATTGATGTATATTTGCAGAGGATGTATATTTGCATTGCCAGTATAAATTTAAAGTTCCTGCTGCTGATATCAATTAGTGGTAGTTTGGGGGTTTTTTGTTGTTTGTTTTTAATCCAAGGAAAAAAAGTATACTGGAATCCATAAGTAATAGCAGATGGCAAAAGAATGTGAGGAATGCTTGCATTCTGTCCTTACTCTGTAGATATCTTGGATTTACTCATGCTTATTCTGCCATAGTTTCCTTTTTTCCTGTTCTGGTCTCCCCTCACTTTTGATGGAACTGCCATTTCCATACATTCAGTGACTCTTAGATTTTTTTTCTCCTCCCTTTCAGAATTTCCTTGCTGTGTTCATGATTCTCTTTTTTTTTTTCTTTATAGCCTTCAAACATGCAGCTTTATAGAAATGTATATACAGAATGGTGTTTCTTATGACTTGCATATATACTAAGCTGCATAAGCTGCACTGTCTTAAGCTCAAACAATTCTTTGGTTTCCAGATCTAGTGTAAGACTTCACCTTCCTCTTAAACTCCTGTGTGAACTTCCAGCATACTTCAGACATACATCTTAGTTCTCATGTGATGTGTTCCCATCTCTATTCACCAAATGGCACCATCTGGAATCACTTCATAGCTGTGCATGGCTGCAATAAGTGATTTGTCTTCTCAGCAGCAGATTCCATCTAAAACAGATTTCCTCTCTCATGCATTCATGTCTCTGTGTCCTCCACTTTCTTTCAAAAGTTTTCTCTCCTTCTGCATGTCTGTTTCATTTTTATTTTAAACTCTGTAGCTGTATTGAACATCAAAGCAGTCTAGACTACAATTGGTACAAAGCACTACCAGAAAAAAATTAGTACAAATGGATCTGTATTTTATAAGACTTTGGGAAAATGGATTAGAGATGCCACTAGTTTTATTAAATAAAACCAACTAGGTTAGCTCAGTAGGGCAAAATAAAATACTCCTGGGGAAATCTTTCCATAAACTTAAATGGTTAGAGCCATACTGTTAAAAGCTTCTATTTGCATTGCATATTTTGTGACTTAGTCTTCAGAAGCATTAAAGTATTATGTTACTAGCAAAGGCTAGTGGGCACAGATACAACACAGCAGGAAAGAATGTAATTACATTAGAAATTCACAGTAGAACTTTGAGCTGTTAAAGTGACCGGCAATTTCTGAAATGCTAAAAAGGCTATTGATTATATGAGAAAAATAATTCAGCTGCTTGATTTAAAAATCCAACTTTGGTAACTGAAAACAGTTGAAGTAGAATACTATCTTTCAAAGCTAGGCTTATGGCACTGCTCTGTATATGCATAGTGTAGTGGACCAAGGAGAACAAGTAGATGTTTCTCACACACACACATCTCTTCATTTGACTTGTTCCTCCACTGTCCTCTCTGACGTTAAATGCAAGTCAGAAGTCTGAACTGAAGCTGTTTCTTACCTGTTTTACTTCAGGCAAGTAACTCTGTTCTGGATCTCAAGATAAACATTTACTGCTCTTAATGTGTTTCAATTTCCTGTGAAATGAGGCCTCTTTGTCCTTTATGCTTCCTTCTTTTCTCCCACCCTCATTCCTTAGGACTAGGCAAGAAAGCATCTAATCCGGAGCTGCAAACACTGACCAACTGCTGCCAGGGGAGTGTGCAACCTGTAGCATCTCTGTCTTTAAAGCTTCAGTGTGGTGTCTCCCCTCTTACTGCTTCTTCCTTGCATACACACAAACTTTAGCTTTGAACATCTACTTCTCCTTTGAACCCACACAGTAGGTAAAAAAATATTGGAGGAGAGGACGTAGCAGCATAGGAAAGAACAATCTGAAAGACTGATCTCATAGCTTAATTTCATGTTTAGAGATCTGTTTTCTTCAACAAGAGTAGAATACATTGTTGTTAAACATTCTAGTAATAAAATTCATAAAATCAGAACTAAATACATTGCACTGGAATATTTATAGCATTGAGCATTGTCAGGAACAACCAAGCTGGTCTGTTTTTTAAGAATTCTAAGCTTTAAAAAGCCAAAGCTTAGGTTGATTTCTTAGCACAAATTGTGTTGCCAAAGTTTGCTGGCAATGCTCTGATTTAATTTAGTGCTCTGTTCTTAAGTATTCATACTTCATGGTGTCACTGTTTGGACTTTTTGCTATTCTTGCTTTGACATCTTTTTAACTGATTTAAATCAATTGAGGGGAGCGTTAATATGGAGAATGCATTTCCCAGCCAAAGGTAACTGACTTTTTTTTTTTTTTCCTTCTGCAGTATGTGCGTGGTTCTGACCCTGTACTAAAGCTGCTGGATGACAGTGGGAACATTGCAGAAGAACTGAGCATCCTCAAGTGGAATACAGATAGTGTGGAAGAATTTCTAAGTGAAAAATTAGAACGTCTATAAATCATTGCTTTCAGTCCTCTTTCCTCTTCATGTTTTGTCATGGTATCTTCTCAGATGTAGTGAGCTACAATTGGGAAAAAAAAAAAAACCAAACACATTCCAGCTTCTGTATTAATTTCAAAATACCTGTTGGGCTATACTAAACATCTTGTAATTATAAGGGGAAGCTTCAGCACACATCTGACAAGCTGACAGAATAGTTTATCTTAATATATTTCAGCTCTTAGTGCATTTATCACTAACAAAATGCTTTGTTTCAAAGTTAATTATGCAACTATCAGTTTGATATAATTGGACCTGTTTTTACAAATGCTCTTAAAACTGAAGAGCTTCGAATAAGTGAAATGATTACCATGCTTTTTGTCTGCTGCTGTTTGCAAGAAAGTCAGAACCAAATGTAATGTACTATCTCCCAAAGAAACTTTACTGCTAATGCCCTCTTGTATTTGAGCTGTCCTTTTTATAGAAGCATTGTTTACAATGAGTATCTAGTTCACAGGTTTTGAAGTTGCTGGAGGAACTCATGCTCTGGTGCTGTGAAACACTTAATAAGTACACTTTAGTGAAGACTACATAGAAAACCTCTGAGGTGTATGGAAGTCAGATGTCAGGTGTGCTTTACATTAAGTGTTTTTGTTTCAGAAAACATGAGATGTAAGTCTTGGAAAATGTTTCCTTCTAACTTACATGAGTTTATTGGAAGTCTGTTTATCAAATGAATTTATAAACTGTTCTTTTAAAATGTATATTTTTCTTAGTTGAAGTTTATGTGAACAGGGAATATAGACCGTATGTATGGTAATGAGTCAAATCTATTATGACTTGTCAGGTTTTTTCCACTTAGACTGAATAAATATGGTAAGCAAGAATAATGTGGGTTTTGTCTGAAGTCTAATTAACAAATAAGTCTTCTCTTTAACTACTTGATGCCCACCACTTTTTGATTGGATGGCTATTATGCTATGGCCTGAATTGGTACTCAGTTTTTCTCTTCATGTATAATTTTATATCTCAAACTTCTCTACACTTTACAGATTTTTATTCCCAATAAATCATCAGCTTCATAGCAGAACAATAAACTTGGGACTGAGATCACACAAAATCATCAGAACTAATACACTAAGGTGATTCTGTAAGCATAGCCTTCTAAGTTTTTACTCCAGAAATACAAACTCTTAGAAGGTGCCTTCAGCTATGTCATGATGTGATCCTTGCTGTTCCTGCTCTCATTCTATGCCTTTCACTTCTATCCTTGTAGAGCATGCTGCTCATCTCCCAGATGACTCAGTGTGGGACAGCTACAACAGTAGTCACCACTGTCTTAGAGAAATAGGAACTCTACACAAACAGCACAAATCTCTGCAGCTTGTGCTAACCTATCAGTGTCAAATGTGGATTTGTTCTTGGGATGTGATATACTAGTCAGCAGATGAGCTACAACCAAAACATGTGGCATGACAACCCAGTATTTTGGTAGCAAAAATATGCTGCCATCCACTGGTCTTTTAATATACTGACTCTATCCCATACTTTTTCCTGTGTTTGCCAACAAGGGGTTTCAGTTTCTATGTTGATGATTTATCATGCTGTTCTACCAGAGTATTTTAACCTTGTCCTTCTCTCCAGCCTTAGGTCCTCTTTACCACTTGCAGAGAGATTGATTGTTTACTTCATTTGATATTTATGAAATATTTCTCTCTGCTTCTCTATTTCCTTCCTCTTCAACATGAGGGCAGGGGTGGGTTTCTGACCTTCAACCTCCCTTTTCTTTCCATGTCTTCCTACTGCCAGCCCCCTACTTCCCCACACAAACTTCCTTTGCCAACACCAGGTCTTTTACTCCTGCTCGTTTGTCTTTCACTGAAGCAAGGAACTTACTTACTCTTGTACCAGGAGATAACCATCCCATAGCAGAGGAGGATGACAGGCCAAAGAATTTCCCTTCCAGCATAACTGGGATTTATGACTGCAGTCTCAGTACTGCTTCTGCAGCCTCTTAACTTTCTCAGTACTGGTTCTTGCTTATTTTCATCAAGGACACTGGAAATTATCTGTTCTCCCAGTTTTCCTCCTAGGTTCCCCATTTGCTGATTCCTGTTTTGCATGCTAAACTTGCCTTGTAGTATAGAGATTTATTCCTTTAGCTTAAAAGCATGCACAAAGTCTACATATAGGAACATGTCAAGAGTCTCCCATGATTCTGTTACTGAGCTGCTGAGCCCTGAACCTACTTGATCTCTTAGCATCTAGCAAAAGCTTAATTACCTGTGCTTCTTGCCCTGTTGACTGTTCTCCATGCTGTTCTCAGAGTGTCGAACTCATACTGTCCTTGCTTTGTTCTTTCTCATTCTATCCTTTAGATGATACTTGGGTTCTCGGCTCTACAGACACATGCTAGGCACATTTTAACATTCTGGCAAAAATGAGCTGGGCTTTGTGCTAAAAGAGGCAGTTGGAGAGGGGAATAATTTCTTTTGGATATTCTTAAGTTTCTATTTATCAGTGTGGGTTTTTTTCCTCCAGTCTGCAGCTGTGAAAATTCATAGAGCTCAAAAGGTTATTTTGGCTATTTTGGCTTGTGGCAATTGACTACACAAAATACAAGATTTAAAGCTCCTGTTTAAAAAGGAAGTGATTCATTTTTACTTATAGCCATGATAAGCACCCCATACTTCATGAAAGGCATTCACTCAGATTTATGTAAGAGTTATTTAGTCTTATATAATGCTCTTGTTGTGCCAAATCTTGAGAGTTAATGAAGAATAAAAGCAGCAAGCATGCATGACTGAGTTGAAACATGAAGTGTCCATCTACCTATCTTTTTAGAGGGGAAAAAAGACAACTTATCTTGCAGGAAAGAGTAGTGATGCTTTAAGAAAAAAAAAGTGGTGTACATTCTATTTTGTACATAGATACGTTGTGTAGGTGAACTTGAAGCATAGTGTACAAGCTACTTGGAAGGGTTTCCTGGGTAACTGCTTAGTCATGGATTCCTGCAGTGTGAAACAGAACAAAATGATTGTAGCAGGCAAAAACCCTGAGACATCAAATGCTAAAACACAGAAGATTTATATCAAAAGCAGCTAAAGAAAACACCATCGTCCAAATTTGTGTGGTTTTCTGTTAAGGCCCAACCCAATTACTTCAAAACAAATTTGCTATCATGTCTAAGATGAAGAACCCAAGGGACAAGATAGCCAAGGACACAAAGCAGCCCACTGATATGTTCTGTTACTGAACACCTGTGGTTCAGATCACCACCTTCCCTCCTAAATGCACTCTCGTAAACAGTCTAAGCAGAGCGTAGCTAGAGACTATTTTTAGTATTTTTTTTTTTCCTTATCACTTATCATAAGGGATGGACAGAAGGAAACACATTATGCAATTACTTACCTAGTGAGCTCAGACAGAAGACAAACTACAGAAGCAGTCAGAGTATTCTTGCATTTATTGATTCAAATAGGAACCATGGCACCAGGGGAGCACAGACTATCTCAAGGAGTACCTGGTTATCTGTTACAGTTTGAAAGGGATTCCTGATGCTGAACAAGGGCCATCAGCTTTGTTGCTGTCTGAGAAGCAAGGTATCCAACTATGTATTTCAGTTGCACCTCTGTACACTGAAAGCCTTACACGCAGCAGCACTTGTGCCTACTGACATACAAGTTAAAGTTTCTAAACACTGAGAAAGGGAATACATCTCTCAACACTTACCACTACTAAGGCAACCAAGCTCAAAAGAGTTGACCATGATTTACCCTTGCATTAAGCAAGCACTTCATAGTTCATTTTGTCTGCTCTCAGGCTGTGCTGTCTAGCAGATTTGTTCCAAAGCACTTGCAGCAACACAGTGGTCCCAGATCCCCTAAACAGCCTCATGCGTAAGCTTCAAGTAGACAGTGGTAACATACCTACTCTCATATGGGTACTCCCACTAGTAATTGTTTTCCTTGAAAATACACACCACACATATTCTATAGGCACCCAGTACAAAGCTGTATTAATGACACATTAATCGTGCATCTTTTGGAACTTTCTAGCAATGATAGTGTTGTATCCTGATAGCCTTCAGAAGCCGTATGTGCCTAATGCAGTATAAACATTTTGTAGAAAGGGAATTGATCCTAGTGCATAGGAGTTCAGTTAGAGTTGCAGATACCTGCCAGGATGAGCACTTTGGTGGTCGTGATAAGCATGGGTAGGTCTGTACCACTTCAAAGATAGGTAAGAAAGAGCACATGTTGTGTCTTGGGAATTTACAGTCTGACTAGCTTCACAAAAATAAGACATACCGCAATGAGTATCATTACAAGCTATAAATACAATGAGGGGATCTTAGAGTATATACCACAGTTGCCAAGCCAACCTAACTCAAGTTTAAGCCACATCTTTGCTCCAGCGTGTTGCAGTTGTGCCTTCGGTGCTGCTGCTTTGTCTCCCTGAGGGTTACCTTTTCACTGCTTTCAGGTAGAGAGTGAGATCAGGTCACTTGTCTACATGTAAAGTTATGTCTTTACCCATTTCTGAATACAAAGATGCTCTTTACTCTAAACACCTCCCAAAGTGACAGCAAATAAAACAACATATTAGAAATAGAGTGGAAAACAATTCCATATTTTCATAGGAATACTTAATGGTGTTTTATATTTAGTAGGAACAAGGGCATGAACTTAAGGCAGGAGGACTGTAACAACTGAGCGGTAATTTGAGTAAGAATAAAGTTGTTTAATAAAAAAATCAATGGATACTACAAAGCTATGAAACAACATAGTATTTTGTTATAAGTAACTCAGGGTTTCAATCTCAATAAAACAACAAAGATTTGTACACAAAATACAGCACCTTAATTTCTTGGTTTAAAAGCTATGCTTAAGTTACTGCTATATTAATTACAAAGGCTTTCAACAAGTTATTCTTCTAAAGAAAAGCCGATCTATGTTCATGTGCCATACAAATTACAAAAAATTAAGATTTAACAATCAAATTAGCAGAATCAAACTCCATACACTGGGATACTTCTGCTTTGTCTTAGTCTAAAAGTGCCTGATCAGCAGCAGGAGGAAAGCAGTCACTCCAATGAGTCAACATTGTAACAGAGCACAGTATGAGTGTGTCTCAGTTCTCAGTACTCTTCCCAAGACTGTGGTGAAATCCCATGATAAGTCATGCTGGATGGAATGTGAAGGAATAAATCAGTCTTCTTGTAAAGCCACAAATTCATCTAAGAATATATTTCCTAGTTTCTGTATAATGGCAATCCTCAGAGGAGGCTGTGTTGGCATTTGATATATAGGAATAACTAGATAATGGCTTTACAGTGTAGAAGTCTTAACATTTCTAAGATGATTCACTAGGGCAGTTCCATACTTTGACCTTCTTGACTAGCATCCAGCACTGCAGCACAGTACGTATCCTGGAGCTGGGAACACATTTCTTTGGGGCTGAGCACATCAAGCACAAAAGAAACTATTCCTGAAGTTGCCAGCAAAAGCCATGTCCATGGCTGAGAACAGAGGGAAGAGACATTCCACAGCACTTTCCTACCTACCAGGTAGGTGGGGCCCAAGGAAGGGCATAAAAGAACACTTCATCATTTCTTTTTGAAAGCTGTGCATGGTAAGGTAATCTACATGGTATGTCTCAGTAACTGTAGAAAAATGGTTCCACAGCCAGGTGACAGCTGTAGAACCTGCATGCCAGGGTGCAACCACTATTTGGGAATCCCACAAAACAAGGAAGAAGCAGGAAGACATTGGGACTGCACAGCTTTGAGGCTTAGAGAAGCGTGACGGTCTCTTGCCAGGTACCCTCAATTGGTCTCCAAGAAACACAAAATCAGGAATCGGGATGGGTAGAAACTTGTCAGAAAAGA